AGACATGTTTAATTGATTATATTTTTTCAATATAAAATTTAATCTAATGGACTTTGTTAAGATTTTTAATTAATAAGTTAAATAAAGAAAATAATAAAATATTATGTCTCATTGTCTTTTGAAGGTATAAACTGCAATTTGAATATACTTTAAGAGCAAATATAGACAAGAGCAGAACATAACGTGAAAACAGAGATTGGATAAAAATCGAAGAATCAGTGTTATTTCAATATTGTTATAAATTAAATAAATATAAAAAAAGGGAAAAAATAATGAGAGAAGAAGAATTGACTATTAATGCTATCTCTTGAATATTAAAAACATTTTTTCAAAAATAAAATAGAATTAAAATTAATTTTACGCCATCTCTTAAATATCAAAATTATCAAAAGTTCTTTTTTAATTCTTTTTTAAATATTTTTGATCGAGAGATGGCGCTGATGGTTCTATTTTTATTTATATTTTATTTATATTATATTCTATTCGTTTCCTACTATTTGCTTTTTTTCTTTATAATTTGTTTATAATTCTTGTATATTAATTTCGATATTCTGAAAATGGCGCTGATTTTAAAATTTTTTATCTGTTTTATCTTTCTTTCATTATTTATCATTGTCTATATTTATTCTTAGTGCATATTGCTTAGAAGATGGAAAATGTTAACTAAACATATTTTCATCATCTTTCTTTTGAAAGTATAATCTGTTTATTATTTTTATAAAAAATGTAGATATTTACGGTTTTATAATATCTTTCGGATAACGATATCATAAAATATGTCAATATAATACATAATATATTATGATACATAAACCGAATATTTGACGTAATATTAAAAATAACATTAAAATATTCAGGGAATTTTGATATTCTTGAATAGAGATATAGGATAAAAAATATATGGAATAGTAAATCTATTCTATACATCATCTATGTTTAAATAAATTTTATCTCCAATTAAAAAATTTATATATAATTTTGTAATTTCTCTCATTAATAATTAAAATAAACAAATATAGCATTAATAATGGGAATAAAAAAATATATAAACATATAATGCACATACGATATATAAAAATATAAAAACGTGTGAAATATGTATGCGAATAGTGAAATTTAAAGCATATATATCACGAAATGATTCATTTATGTCATATTCATATCCGTCTTTACTTAATTTATATTAAATTTCTAAATGTCAAAATAAAAAATTATTTAAAATACAAATTTAATAATAATATATTTATTGTATTGCAAAAAATTATTGTAAATAATTTTTTATGTAATACATAAATTCATTATACAAATGTTAATAACCTTTTGTTAATATTGCAATTATTTATATAATATATATAATATTATTAATATCAATACTAAATGTCATATTGAAATATTCATTTATTTATGAATTAAAGACTTATTTTTATTACTATTATTGAATTAAATTATTAATTAAAATATAAAAGAAATTTAAAAATGTATATTAGAAAGCTATATTTTTATGTTAATCATTTAAGAAGTTTAAGATAATCAAATTAAGTGTAAATTCAATTTGTATCAAATTAATATCAGAGATGACTTATTCTTACATAAAATACTTATTGATGTTAATAAAATCAACAATGCTGAAAATGTTGAATTTTTAGTCTTATATTGTTTCATTGATGCAATAATTATTATTTTTATTCTTACAATGCCTTTCTGTTTCTTATTTAATTTATGCAGATCAAAGATAACTGAGCTTATTTTCAATTTTAAGACATGAGTCAAAATAATTGTCATAAATTATAAGCAAACAATAAAAGATTCAGTTGTATATTGTAATATAAATATATTGTAGTAATAATAAAGATATGAATATAATAATATTATCACATTATATTAATATACATGACATATATGTATATTGCATTATTATATGCATGAACACTCTCATTAAAATATTTTTATGAATAGGATAAATTAATTATAGAAGATACATATTTTTTTTTATACGAATAACAAAATATTTTTTTTGTTAACTCTTTAAAATTTCATGTATCTACTAACAATTTAATTTATTTAGAATATATAAATGCTGTAAATTAAAATAATGATAAACTAAAAATTAGAATATTGATATATATAATAAAATACTATTATATATATTGATATATATATATAATTGTAACATTTCTTACATAATTTATATAATAGTTACAAAAGAATGTAAATAAGATTTGACTTCACTTTTTGCTTATAAAGATTTTTTACAATTTATTACATGTAACTGGCCACTATTTATTATTGTATTGTATGTAATATTACTTTTTTTTTCATAAATATTTAAAATCTATTAGATTCATATGATGAATACAAATAAACAAATTCAAATTAGTTATAACTAACTATAAATATTGATATTTCTATTATCTATTGAGACTAATGATTGATATAGTTATTATCTATAGCAATCAAAGAATCATAAAAATGTGTTTCAGCAATAAAATTAATCTTATACTTTAGCTTATGTAAAATATACTTGATTTGTGTATCAAAGCATCATAATAATTTTACACACAAATGACAATCTTGATTGTTCCATTAATTATTTCAGCAGGTACTGCAAGTCGATCACAAAGATTCTGCATATTCAGTTAAAGGCAGATGTAAGTTATATTAGATCAAGTTCTTCTTAAGAATCCTTAAAAATATTTAGCACATAGTATATCCTAAGAAAAAATTTTCTTACCTATAAGTAAACATATTACAATATTGAAAAAATTATTAATTCTTTTATAATATTAAAGTAAAATTTTGTTTATTTAAATACCTAGATTTACTTTTAATCTAAAATGATGAAATTTAATGGCCAAATACTTCTTGGCTAGCAAATACTATATAAAGAAAACCATCTGCATCTTGTTCTCTTTGATAAAGTTGTGCCATAGTCATACTACCACTAGCCATACTTCTTTGGTTTACTAATAGAAAAAATGCTTGTGTTGGATGTAGCTGTAATCTACGTCTATTAATTATAAACAATTAATAATATTTACAATTTAAGAATTTTATAGTAAGCAAAATTTAAAAATATATACCTAATAATTTTGATGAATTCTGCCACTGTTAAATAATCTGGTACCAAAAATTTAGATCTATCTAATACAGGTAATTGTTTTTCTCCATAATATCTTTCAACAATAATAGGTATTTTATTTGGATGATGTTGTCTAATTAATTCTACATCTGCAACCCTTTGTGCTAAATTTTGAGATGGAATTTGTTTAAATTATTAATATTTTATAAAAAAAATAATAATGTATCTAAAATTATTACATTTAATATCATATATTATGCATTAAAATTAATAAGATTAATTTTCAGAAATGAACGTAATTCTTTGAAATAATAATTATGATAGAATATATAATTATATAATAATGTTATCAATAAAATAAAAATATTAAACTGTAAACTAAATAAAACTTCGCGAAGAAGTACTTTGCATTTTGTTTTAGCTTTTTTTTGTTTTAATTTCAATTATAAAAAACTTATAGTTAATATTTTAAATTATCTGCTCACCAAATGAACGTCTTTCTTTAAATGATTTTGGTGTTAAATTCATCCTGGATTCACTATTTGTTATTACGACGTTCAAAGCGATATCAGCTGTAAACGCAGATATTCTTGACGGGTCAAAATAATGCCTGTCTCTATGACTTGTTTTCAGCTTAAGTTAGGTTCAAAAGATGATAATATATATTCACATTGGTTTGTGCTGCCCTCTTAATATTTATTAGTGATTTTTATATTTTGTTCCTTCCTTATTATCTCTTCGAAAACGAAACTTTGTCACGGATCACTCAATGGAAAGATATAGATTGGAAAATAATTTAATAAATTTAATAATATGATATTTATGATACTTTAATATAAAATAGAATATAACTTTTTATATTAAAGAATAATTATTAAAACAGAAAATTAAATAGTGAAAGTGATTCGCATTATATTTATGTGAAATAATAGTGTTGCGTTTTTGCGGAAAAAACAGGAACTAACGTTGAAAATAGGTATAGCTATCTAGAGTAAGACTTTAGTCTATGTCCTCCCTCTTGCTTTGAAACAGGAATACGTGTGGACACCTGTGCGTACGGCAAGCAGCAACCGTCTGTATACGTGAGAGTGCATGCGTGGGTGTTGTAGCAGGCGTTTCTTTATCAATAGAGAAATGGTGCTCCCGCCTTGAGTGTTTCTTGAATCGACGAGTGTGAATTTCTCAGTGAAAACTTGTGTTGGAATTGAGTAAAAAAAATTAGTGTTATTAAATGTAACCTGAAAAGCGTATCTACCGTTTGTCGGAATTGAATGTACAACTCGATTGATGATACATGCACGCCAAACGTCAAAGGAAGGGAAAGATAACAAAAACATCTGTATTATTAACATAATAGATACATAAAAATGAAAAATAATCGCGTCTTAATAATCATAGAAATTATAATAGAGGGTTTACTACCGGAAGCGTCATGCTACTTCGTTTAACCGTTGAAGATCTGTGAAAATCTCTCTCATGCGATATCATTTTTATTCGATTTCAGAGACCAAAAACTATATATATGAGAAATTATACATGAGTTAGTTACTCTGACTGTTCATCCGTTTGCCTGGTCGTCCACCCCTTCCAAACCGTCCTGACACAACGTTTAACGGGTGTATAAAAAGAATAAACATGATGGCGGCGTGAGAGAGATAGATAAGTGAGCAAGAGAAGGGAGAAGAGAGAGAAAGAGAGAAAGAAAGAAAGAAAGAAAGAAAGAAAGAAAGAAAGAAAGAGAAGTCAGCCAGCCAGCCAGCTAGAACCAGCCAACCAGTCAGTGTGCCAGAAGCGACGAACTTTGTTTCGTGCTATCTTTGTCTCAATGAAAAAAATTTATCGTTCCTGAATATCCATCTATTTTTTTGCATTTATTCGCCTTTATAAAATCAAATAAATCGAGGAGAATAATAAGTTTTTATAATTAATGCTGAGAGAACGTTTCGCTTGTAAACAGTTATCAAGGTGCGGCCACGTTCATCGTGTTCGCGGTGTTTGCTTCGATTTTCATGCATGCGGGGTCCACGACCGAGCGTGTGAGAAATTCAGCATATCGTCTGGTAACACGGTGGCTTGATTTCGATTTTCTAGTGTTTTCGTAGATGATAAAATGATATTTCACAGCCGGAAATATATGATTCGATGTCACTGATAACAAGCGTTCATTGAATTATAACAGGAAACTTTGTTTGAATTAATATAATGTGAATGATTTAAAAACAAAACTTAAAAACACAGGAAATGCGGTGTTGATGCATGTAAATAAAACACGTGATTAGATGAATAACTGCCCGAGAAGACTTAAGAAGTTGCTCTTTTTTAATTAGAATTCATCACATAAGGAAATTCTGCATTTAAAATTCATCGAATTGAATTGAATTCATAGCTACTAATAGAATCGAAAAAGCATTTGTAACAATTAAATAATTCTCCATCGATTATTAATTGTTATTTGATCCAAAACGATTTATTTTTGAATATTTTTCATGGCAAATAGATCGAATCGAATCGTATATGGCTATTTTGATTAACGGTAATTACGCTCCAAGAGAGGTGAATTTCGTTGAGTGTAAAAATCTATTATATGAAGGACAACGACGCTATTATTTCGTCAAAGATTGACATCGAGACTTTTGTTCGAGAAATTCATCTGTTTAAGGGAATAGGATATTCGATGGAGCGAAATCGTCCGTGTTGGCCGGCCTGGTGGCAATAACCTCCAGTCAGAGGTGGCAGACAGTTTTCGCACGATGCGTTTGCCCTCGTGCGCGATAGATTATAAAATTAGACGTTCGAAACTTCGTACGAAGGAAAAAGGAGCAAAAACACATCGTTCTCATGCGGTAAAGAAGGTGGAGACACTGACTGGTGATAACGAAGGAAGGGTCAAGCGACGAAAGGAATTAATACAAGTCGGATGAATAATTTCGAGGGTAGACAGCTGTGCATAGTCAGAAGTGACGTCAGTCGCGTTGGGTTCATAGTTCCTCTTATTTTTCTCATTCGGAGCTGCGTACAGACATCGCGTGCGAAGGGGCGACAATGAAAGCGGCAAATAAGCGAAAATAAAGAAAGAGCACGTTAATGACCAAGCGAAAATAAGAAAAAAATACAAAGTCAAGTTTTCGATGAACGATAATTATCTCACTCGCACTCGTTACAGTGAAAAGAATCATCACAATTTCTAGTCTGTTGCATTTACATCGAGAAATCTTTTTTTTTTTCATTTCTCGATGAAATATTATTAAATCGATTATATTTCAAACTGCACGTGCTATGTATCATCGCCATCGCGGATCGAAACACGTTCGATGCGCTCTTGTAACGATGCGCATTTATCGAGCACGCATCGCAGATTGTTCGTAATGCTTCGTCTTAGAAGATTTGATAATTTCATTAAATAGTTATCGTGCAAAGATACACGAAAAAAAAAAAAAAAAAGAAAGAAAAGAAAAAAATAACATTTCATAATTCAGCAGTTTATTTTAAACACTGAGAATGAGACTGAAATTCAATTATTAAATCTTTTAGTCGATTAATTTATTCGAGGCGGACGAGTTCGTTGAAAAGTAATTACGGAATCGGCAAGTTTGACCAAATTTACTAATACATTATAAATATTATATAGAGATATAAACTAAATTCATATAAATCTGCAAATCCTTAGAACAAGAGAAATCTGAAATACGACAAGCAATAAACGATTGCTTTTAAAATTAGGATATTAGTCTCAACGAACCAACATGTTTTTTATCCAAACGACAATACATCGTGACACGTTAGAACGAATGATAATAGTTGAAATTGCAAAAAAAGAAAGATATTAAAGGGAAAAAAGGGGGCGTTCGCGATCGATGCACTTCACCCTGTTGAATTGTATCTGTACGAGTAATCATCCAATGATTGGTTATTTCGTTTTCTTTGATACACGACCTATCGGTCTGTCCGAGAAGAAACGACACACGCTTCAATATCATCGTCAAATGGACACAAATGACTAGCTTAACATTATCTTCGAGCACGTTCGAGATGCCCCGGTCTAGATCAAAACTGTTCGTACCCGCGAACGCGATCTCAACACAGACGTACAACACACCATCAAGTGAGAACAATCATCTTCCACCCTTGAAGGGTAGCGCATTGGCACTGAAGCAGCCTGCAAGTGAGTCGTCGCCTAGTTACTTGACCCGAACCAGTCACATGGCCGGTACTCATCTTCCGAGTTTAAGTTCCAGCGCCAACAACAGCTTGCTCAGCCTGACCGGGAACTCCGATAGCTTGAACCTGAGCCTGAGTTCGCACACGAGCCACAACTCGAGTCACAACTCGAGCCATAATTCGAGCCACAATTCGAGTCATAATTCGAGTCACAACAATTCCAGTCATAACTTCACTCATAATTCCAGTCATAATTTCAGTCACACCACCGCTCACGAGTCACAACACGCGCAGTCGAATAGCCAATCAAGCACCGCGTCAGTGGTGAAGAATGGATGTTCGAACGGAAGTTCCTGCGGCAGCGGTATCCGCAAGCCGAAGACTATCATCGCCACACCGGACGTCGTGTTGAAGATCTACGTGGACAAACTGACACCGTACGAGCACCACGAGATTTTCAATTATCGGCATATATATTTTATTGGGGCGAACGCGAAGAAGAGGCCGGGGATAATCGGTCGACCTCATAACAATGGCTACGACAACGAACATGGTTCCTACATCCACGTGACGCATGATCACGTGGCCTATAGGTACGAGGTGTTGAAGGTGATCGGTAAAGGTTCGTTCGGTCAGGTTGTAAAAGCGTACGATCACAAAAAGCAGGAGCATGTCGCCCTGAAGATGGTGAGGAACGAGAAGAGGTTCCATCGTCAGGCGCAGGAGGAAGTGAAGATATTGAGGAAGCTACGCGAACAGGATAAGGACGACACGATGAATATCATTCATATGTTCGATTCGTTCACGTTCCGTAACCACATGTGCATCACCTTCGAATTACTCGGTATTAATCTGTACGAGTTGATCAAGAAGAACAAGTTCCAGGGGTTCAGCATGCAGCTTGTGAAGAAGTTCGCGCATTCGCTGCTACAGTGCCTCGATGTTCTCTACAAGAACAGGATCATACATTGCGACATGAAGCCGGAGAATGTTCTCTTGAAGCAGCAGGGACGCAGTGGTATCAAGGTGAGCGCTGTTCCTTTTTTTTTTTTCTTTTTATATAACGTATTCATGCACATTCTTATACATTTCAGATAACTTTTGAAAAATATTCAACAAAGAACAAATCGTAATCGTTTACTTTTGATCTTTCATAAATTTCCAATCAATCTTATTAGAATACAATCCCGTTCTTTCAAATACAAGTCTGCTTATATACTCAATCGATTCACTTACCATTAAATAATTAACGCGTAAGAGTTGCGTAAAAATAAAAGAACGTAAATAATTAAAATGAAAATAGTTTATCACGTTTTTCATATTTCGTAATATCATTGGATTCAAATGGAAGAAGAGATACGATGCAACAAAGAAAATATTATAAACGAAAAAGTAATAAAAGATTAAACTGATGATTACTTCATCAACGGATTAAAAATTTATCCATCGATTTTAAAATCAAACATCGCGTACATCCTGTTATTCGAAGAACCACCTCCGATATTTTCAATCGTTCCCTGGGCATCTCGATTCGGGGAAGGTAAACAACCATCTTCCGTGCCAATATCCAATACGTTGCCCGTTCCACGCGGCTGGATTTTTACGCTCTCCGTTCGCCGAGATTAAACGGCATGACTCCACTCGACGGACAGGGAATACAAGCTCGTCGTTAGCGTGAATACCGGCAGGCATAAGCGGAATAAGCGGACAAGCTGGCTCGCGTGCTCATGATGCGCTTTATACACATCATTCGCCGTACATGCGTACGTATATCGTGTGTTACCACGGGGGAAACAGACGGATTTCGTGTGTCATCGTGCACGTAGACGTTGTATCTGCGATATCGTACGACAATACGCGAAGATTAGCGTATTGACAAATGCAATCATGCACCTATGCAGGGATATAGGAGACAGACGAAGCTTGTCCTTGTCCCATGTAATAAGCTCTGAGAAACGTGTTCACGTCCAGGTAGTGTCGCTATTATCTCGCCGCGACGGTCTATAGAATTTGCACGCAATATCGTGAACTTTCTGGCCGCATGTTCGCTTTCTTCGTCGACCTTGCGAGGCCGAGCGTATTAAAAGTATACGCGTTTCGTTTTCCCTTCGTTCCAACTTTTCGTTACAACTCGTTAGAATTATTAACTACACAATGACGCAAAAGTGATGGGCAGGGTGACAACTAAAAATAGTTTCACTTCGAATTTTCTATGATTAGGTTATTTTTGTGATGGATGAAATGGAAAGTTATCGCTTTCGTATCGTAACTTCTAATTATAACACAATTGAATTAAGATATTCGATGTAAGGAGTAATAGTGTATATTAGATGTACAACTGATAAATTGATTTCTTAATAGATTAAATTATGTTTGATCACGTAGAAATTAATTTATTAGCTGTTTGTAAGGATTTAATCTTACTGGTTATTAATGATTCAAAAAATTTCCGATGTTATAAATCGCTTCGTCATTTTTAAGGAAATTAAAATAAGAATATATAAAAAAAAAATGTAATGAATTTAAAACAAGTTCTTGTCGCGATAAGAGTTAACACATAAAGCTATATATCGAGATAAACGAGAAAACAAATTACTTAATAACACAAGCGAGAAAATAAATTACTAATTATACACGTTCAATTTTAATTTTGCTATATTTTTACACTTTTTAATTTTATAAACAGAAAAGAAAATATAACGTTGAAAATTTTTGAACGGTTTTAATTCAATTAGCCAGAGGCTGTACACTTTATAGTTAGTATGCTTAGCAGCAAGACAAGCTTTACATAAATTGATTTGAAGATGTTTGAAGGATTCATAAGTCGGGTAAACGTGGTTGTTACCCAAGCTTCCGGGTATATACCGTATTCTTTTGAACGAGTACCGTAGTTATCGGAGAATAGAGGTATATAATATCCAAGTGGTTGGAAAGAATGGCTCGGGGCATTTTAATAATTCGAGTAGTTCAAAGGAATCGGTGGCACGAATATAATTAACCAATTCTCGTTTACCTCGATAAACCTGAAAATTTATTTAAATCGTATTTAAAAACTTACTTTTCAAGCGTAACATCGGGTTGTTGGTAAAATGAAAATCTATTTTCCATTCTTCACGATGCGTGTCGTTTATCGGTCTTAAATCGGTTTAATGAACTGGGGAAAGTGTACACGCGACCGATCGGCGCGAAATCACGATTAAGTTTCATTACTTGCCGGTAATGGTATTCATCAACCGTTCCGTGGATATTTCCTCGGAGCGTGAAGATCGAAGTTCTCGGTGTATTATCGATGTATTATGAATAAGGTCGCGAGGGATGGTGTATCACGAGTATCAATCACGATCAATCGAGTGTGAATCACGGCTGAATAGAAGAAAATAAGTCAAATTTCCTTCGAAGAGAGATAGAATATCTCTCGCTGAAACGATTCGTTTTCCTTTCTGCTTGACACGATGGTATAAAAATGAAAGGAAGAATTTATCTTAGAGGGGATAATATTCTCTAATCGATAATCTTATGCTTTTTCTCGAACGCACGAAAATATCTTTGAGATAATTTTTCAAAATTTTTTGCATTATTAAAATAACCGACACAGTATTGTTCGATCATTCTCAATTTCGTTTTCCTAATATTTAAGTCTTGGTTTAATGCAATTCTCAGGTCTGAGTATTGTCCTGTCATCTTGTCTGAATATTCATTGATTTTTTTTAGAACAAGGAACTCAAGGACGCGTGAGAGAGAATATCACATTTTATTTTATTTAATTATATTCCTTCGTGTTCCATTGTTCTCGATCGTATACACGATGCTTCGTTATCTCGTTTTTTTTTCTCTCAAGTTATCCACGCCGACGCGAGGGAGATTGAAAAGAATTTATTCGCCTTTTCATAAAGTTATACGATGAAGAGCAATCGGTCGGAAGATGAACGTCGCGACAAACTCGTAAATTAGACGATGGCTGGCAAAGGAAATACGTATAACTGAAACACTGTTGAAAGAGAAAACAGCGATATACGTAGATACACGATGACATGTACGGGACGCTAAAAATTTATAATAATTTATTCGAAAAGATTAAAACTAGTATCGTATAATTTGTTATTTATCGTACGATGATGATGCCAGTAGTATGAATCAGATTTTACGACCGATCAGCATTCTGATCAAGTAAATAATTTCATTTCTGGTTTAATGGCAACAATATTTGAATAATCACACATGTATCTTCCGTAACTAGATTTTTTTATTCCTCGTCCGCTTTACGATCACGATTTAACTACACTTTCATAGATTTAATATATATGTTTAAACGTTATAGCGTATTATAAAATTTAAACGCAATATAAAACGCAACGTAAACTGTAAACAGTGTAAACAGCTTTGTTATAATTATCTAAACTAAGAATTAAGAAATATATCTCGATTGATCGAAAAGTATAGTTAAATTTTACAAGATGAATATTCACAAGATGAAATTTTTAATCGTGTGATATTATCGAAGGAATCATTTGTTATTGAAAATTTGGTGATGGTGGTCGGATTCAACCGAATATATCTTGTTTATGTGCTAGCTTCCATTAACCACGAACTTGTGGTTTCCGGTGGTCCGTGCAAATCACCGATGTCAACCGGAACCACGAACCTTTCATGAATGACATAGCACCTTCTCGAACGGTATTCGGTCGATCAACGACATCAATATCTCGGTAACGAGACCGCTTTTCACACGTTAACCCACGTTACGAGCTAAGATGAAGTCAAATAGGAACCGATACTCGAATAAATATTCCGAATACTGAATCGTTCAATTTTTAGTTTCAATTAATCAAATACGTTATTATCGTTTCTCATCGTTGAGATACGATTGAAAACAAGCGAAGATAGAACGTTTTCAAGGATATTTATTCTCGATGTATACACGGATTTACGATCATTTGGACAAGAATATCTTGTCACGGTGTGTAGGAGAGACACCCTGTTACACGCCTCGCGCGAGAAATACGAATGATCTCACTTTCCAGATCGCATGATCCGTGAACGGTAACAAGATCGGGCCGCGAAGTTTTCCACGCGGTTCGTTTCGATTCGATAAAAGCGCAGGAAGAATCGCGTTTCCGTATTGCGAGCGTATATACTTATAGGAATACTTTTCTTCCATCGAGGATTTTCTTGGAAGCTCGAATGCGTGTTCGAGAATGGACGCTGTATACACGCTATATGTACACTTCTTGGATATCCATGGCGGGAATATATGTAATAGAAAGCACAAGATATTCCTTATTACTTTAATCATCTTCGAATTAGAGAAATAATTCTGAATTTCTAATCATTCTAGATCTTGTACCCTTTTCTTTTATTTTATTCTCGATTCTGGGATATTTTCGAATGGGGAATATATCGATAGAAAGCACAAGATATTCCTTGTTACTTTGATCGGATCATCTTCGAATTAGAGAAATAATTTCACGCAAGAGATTTCTGAATTTCTAATTATTCTAGATCTTGTACCCTTTTCTTTTATTTTATTCTCGATTCTGGGATATTTTCGAATAGGGAATATATCGATAGAAAGCACAAGATATTTCTTGTTATTTTGATCGGATCATCTTCGAATTAGAGAAATAATTTCACGCAAGAGATTTCTAAATTTCCAATCATTTTAGACTAGACTTTTCTTTTATTTTACTCCCAATTCTGGGATATTTTCGAATGGAAATATCAAGCATGTAGAAATTTTGATGAAGATTCGCACGAATTATTAAACAGGCATCCAATAATAATTCTCACTCTAGACGTGCTTCTTCAGATATCTAGAGATTCCATCCAAATGTCCACGTATTTAACAGAACCGTGATGATATTTGCTCGCGAATAGATTCTCGCATCAAAGAATTGGCAGGTATTGCGTCAGGTGTCGAAAGTGAATGTTTCGAGCACCTCTTCCTCTCCCGTGTTACTCTCTTTTGCCCTTCTTCTCTCTTTTTTTTTTCCTCTCCCTCTTTTCTCGGTACAGCGATCGTTTGTTAT